TTGTGATGTTGTGATGCTGTGATGTTGTGATGTTTTGATGCTGTGATGTTGTGATGTTGTGATGCTGTGATGTTGTGATGCTGTGATGTTGTGATGCTGTGATGTTGTGATGCTGTTATGTTGTGATGCTGTGATGTTGTGATGCTGTGATGCTGTGATGTTGTGATGTTGTGACGCTGTGATGTTGTGATGTTGTGATGTTTTGATGCTGTGATGTTGTGATGTTGTGATGCTGTGATGTTGTGATGCTGTGATGTTGTGATGCTGTGATGCTGTGATGTTGTGATGTTGTGATGCTGTGATGTTGTGATGCTGTTATGTTGTGATGTTGTGATGCTGTGATGTTGTTATGCTGTGATGTTGTGATGCTGTTATGTTGTGATGCTGTGATGTTGTGATGTTGTGATGTTGTGATGCTGTGATGTTGTTATGTTGTGATGTTGTGATGCTGTTATGTTGTGATGTTGTGATGCTGTGATGTTGTTATGCTGTGATGTTGTTATGCTGTGATGTTGTGATGCTGTGATGTTGTGATGCTGTGATGTTGTTATGTTGTGATGTTGTGATGCTGTGATGTTGTGATGTTGTGATGCTGTGATGCTGTGATGTTGTGATGCTGTGATGTTGTGATGCTGTTATGTTGTGATGTTGTGATGCTGTGATGTTGTGATGCTGTGATGTTGTTATGTTGTGATGTTGTGATGCTGTTATGCTGTGATGTTGTGATGCTGTTATGTTGTGATGTTGTGATGTTTTGATGCTGTGATGCTGTGATGTTGTGATGCTGTTATGTTGTGATGTTGTGATGCTGTGATGTTGTGATGCTGTTATGTTGTGATGTTTTGATGCTGTGATGTTGTGATGTTGTGATGCTGTGATGTTGTGATGCTGTGATGTTGTGATGCTCTCAGTGGAGGTTCTGTAGAACAGCACCAGCAGCTTGTTTCTCCTGAGAACTCTCAGGAAGTGGAGATGCTGCAGAGCTTTCTTCACCACTGTTGTGTTTGCAGACCAGGAGAGACCATCAGTGATCTGCACACCCAGGAACCTGATGGAGCTGACCCTTTCCACACTGACTCTGTTCATGTGAAGTTGTGCTGGTTCAGCTCTGCTCTTCCTGAAGTCCAGAATTATTTCTTTAGTTTTGTGTTGTTCAGTGGCAGGTTGTTTGCAGAGCACCTACCTGTCAGTGTGTTTACCTCGTCTATAATCAGACTCATGTCCCTCTGTGATGAGCCCAACCATGGTGGTGTCTGCAGACTTTATGTCTGTGTTGGGGTGATGGATCAGAGAGCAGTCGTAGGTGTAGAGGGTGAACAGCAGTGGGCTCAGTACACAGCCTTGAGGAGAGCCGGTGTTGAGTGTGATAGTGGAGGAGAGGTGGGGGCCTAACTTCACAGACTGTGGGTGGTCTCTGAGGACGTTCTGTATCCACTGGCAGATGAGGGCGGAGATGCCCAGAATCTGTAGTCCTGGACCAGGATCTCTGGGATGCTGTGGTTGAATGCTGAGCTGAAGTCCAGGTAGATCATCCTCACGTAGCTTCCTCCATGCTCCAGGTGACAGCACGGTGTGAACTGTGATGTTGATGGCATCTTCTGTGGAATGGTTTTCCCAGTAGGCAAACTGGTGAGGGTCCAGAGTGGGAGGTGGACTAGGGCTGTGTATTGGCAAGAATTTGGCGATACGATACATATCATAACAGAGGGGTCACGATACGATATATCCCGATATATTGCGATACTGTAAGTAAGGTGATATATTGCAATTTTTTTGGTCCAAAAATTCTATTAAATAAAAACCTTTTACTGGAAAAAAAATGAAAAACCAAAAGTCATTGTCTCAGAAAATTTTATTACATAGACATGCGCTAGCCTTCTGTAACGTGAAAGCTGACTACAGTTGGAAAAAAGAGCACAAAACACTTAATTTGGTTTAAAATCCAGACATTGTGACAAATAAGTAACTGTTTGTAACCTTACCTCAGCTTAGAAGGCAGAGGGTGTCGGTCTTTTCTGCTCAGATTCAGCTATCGGAGCATGAAGCTAATGTTTACTCACAATGCTAATGCTACCCTTACTCTCTGGTGCTCAAGAGGTAGAGGAGCCAAATGTCTGGCTCACTGCTGCCAACTAGTGGTCAGAGGCTGAACTACAACATAAAAATGAACGGCTGGCAGGAAAGTTGACATTTTAAATCTTAATTAAATATCGATACAGGACTTTAGAATATCGATACAGTATCAGGAAATGAAATATCGCGATATTTCAGTGTATCGATATTTTCTTACACCCCTAAGGTGGACAGGCTCTCAGGCTTTTGAAGCACTTCATGACCACTGGTGTAAGTGCAACAGGCCTGTAGTTGTTTATGCCCTGCACTGTGGACTTTTGTGGGACTGGGATGATGGTGGAGGAGAATGGTGGCCAGCGACAGGGACTGGTTGAACATACAGGTGAAGACACCTGCTAGTTGGTCAGCACACGCGTTTAGCTCCAGGTACACCATCAGGGCCGGCCGCCTTTCTGGGGTTCACCGCCTTCAGCACACGTCTCAGCTTACATTTACTTTTCTACACAGATATTTGAGAAATTGTTGACAGACAAAATAAATAAGAAGGCAAAAAGTATCAGCATTTTTAAAATTTATTTATTCATCCTTTTATGTATCCATTCATCCATTCATATTATCCATTAAAAAACAAACTTTTAGGCACAAAATAAAAAGAAATCTATCATACACGGGGAGGCAGAGATTCATAAACAAATCCAGAAGGAGGTTCTTACTTCGAAGTCCAGAGGACAAAGAAGGAGTCCAAATGTAGAGGTCAGAAAGGCAACAAGAAGCAGGCCTGGAGCAGGTCGATGYGAGAAACCAGGAAACAGACAAGAAGTTGTAATGATGACATCAGCTGGGAGAGCGTGCTGAACATTTACTAACACAGTTCAGTAATCTGGCAGAGACTAGATGTAAGAAAGGAGCTCACATGGATTAGTGAGTGGGTTCAGCTGGATTGCAGCAGAAATCAGGAGTGATTCMGWCTGATTTTGTTTTCGWGCATGTGGCARATTTCTGTTAGTTCAGTGAACCCAATTTCACCTGTAAAATATTACTGTACATCACTTATTCAATATATCAAACTGAACTAGCTGATCCAAACACCCAAAGATTTGTAAATAAAAAATATATAAGATTATCAGGGGTACACAAACCTTTTCATATTACTGTCTTGTCAGAGTTGGCAGTGCATGGGTGCTGGTTTAAGAGTTTACTCCCAAAAATGTTGACTTTATAACAGAAACTTCCATGAATGTGTGTTATAAACAGACTGGGAAAGGCTTTACTGTGTCCATACATTGTTATACCAACTTACCAGTACACATTAATGGTAAAAGATGTTATTTTATGGTTGAACATAAAAAAAGACTACAGTTTTTAAAGCTTTGAGAGTAATCTGATTTTAACAGAGTGGAAACAAGGTGACCCTGCAAACAACAGCCCTTGAGAACACTTCCATCAAGGTGGGACCTGCCAGGAAACCAAGCTACAAAACGAAGATGGCCCGACGCAGCAAAAGGAGCAAGAAAAAAGATGGACAAGACAGGTACATGAGATCAGAGCTAACATCTTTAAATATTGATTTATCCATCAGGTCAACATTTAAAAAATGTGTATTGATTTTTCTGACCTGAACTTCTGTTGTCTCTAGACTTCATTTATTTAATCTTCATGTAAAGTTTGGACAAACACWTCTAGGGCTGCAACGATTAATCGACGGCTAATCGATTATTAAAATAATCGTTAGTTGCAGCCCTAAACACACGTCTTAGAGTTGAAATTTGATTTGTGTCTTCCAGCACACGACGACACATCTTTAAGAAACTATCGAAGCATGCGGCCCCAGCACCTCTGCAGAGCAGTCGCAGCTTCTCTTCAGGCTTCCAGCAGTCGTCCAGTGACAGCCTGTCTGGTTCACCAACACACAGCCTGTCTCCTGGGCCTTCCACACCGTGTCGCTCCCCGGGCCCTGACCACTCAGGAGGTGTGTGGCACTTTGGATTTTTAAAAGTTTACTTTTATCCACTTTACTTTAGATTAGTTTATTATGATTATTTCTTTTTGCCCACCACSAAAAAGCAAAGGCACAGAGATAATGTTTTTGTCGTGTTTGAATAACCGTTGGAATCGATGCATTTCGAGACCAAAGCTAATCATCACTAACCAGTGCAAAAATGCTGCATCTRTGTGAAATCTGCTGAGTCAGAATCTGCTGTGCCACGTACTGAGAGTCACTCTGAGCACTAAAACAAGCATGGGATTCAGAAAAAGTTGAAGTAGGTCCTCTGGACGTCTCTTCTGCATGGAAACAAACAGTTTTGATTGTCATCGTTCAACCTGTTTGTCCACCATGTGGAGGCGGAGCTTATAAGGCTGAGTTTCACCTGAAACTCATCAGACTGAAGAAGTCTGTTGGAGGAGAGACGAAACGTTTCATTAAAGAAGAACCATCCAGAGGAGCTGCTTAAACTTTTTTGATTTTTCTACCTGGATTGCTGAGATGCATCAGGACATTGCATGTGATTGTGTGTAATTTTATTTCACCATTTCATTAAAATAGCTACAACTCTGTCATTTTTTGGTAAATATGTGAGCCATCATATGAAAATGAGGATTAAGTCAAATTMGGTCAAAATGACCTAATTACATTTTCAGATTCCTGCTTTAAAAYCTACATTTTGAWACCTGGATCATCCTGATATTGTTATGAATATGGATCTTCATGAAAGATGACCAGAACTCTGTTCTTGTTTTTACTTTTTACTGTGAAGAATTTGCTGCCAATGCACCCCACWGGACTACAAACTAAGTGATCACAATGATTTTCACTTTCCATTAGTGCCTCGTCAAAATAAAAGCATTACCAGTAAAATTTACTAATGCACTATTTTAACAATACCAGTTTTTTATTCTTCATTGTAACAATAATTTATATAAAATATTTTAATCTATATGAAATGCATATTAAATCACTTTAACACAACATTTCACAACAGATATCATGAGTAAGTTCATATATATGACTTAATTTGTCTCGTTGGTTACAATAATAAATAAATATTTGGTCTGAATCCTAATTTTATG